TTACATCTCCCAATCCGCGAGCTCTTTCTTTCCCATCAAGCTCCGACTTCACAAGGACTGGATTCTTGACTCCGGTGCACCAGCGCATCTGACCTCTGATTTAGTAAATCTTCAAAACGGATATATCTACAAAAAGTCCGGACACTATCTCCACAGCGAACCGGAGCATCTCTTCTATTCAGTACTCTGGCATGGGCTTCTTCCTCTTGTCGGACTTGCTCATAATCGTCATTTCATATTTCTACAATAACCAGGATAACAATAGTCTCTATTTCCTTCGACGCTAATGATTTGTCATTAGGATGGCCAAGGATCACCGCCCTCTTCTTCTTGGTAATGCGTAACGGACTCCTTCTTGCTTACGGAACATCACCACGGCTCATCCTACCGCCTACTTCTTGCTCGGTTTTTCATTTTGCTTCCTCTCTTACTCGCCTCATCGTCGTCTCGTACGCGAGCTTTCGGTCACCCTCACAGTCGGGATGGGCTCACCAAGGGCTTCGGTCACCTGCTACTGTACTTTCTTGTTTTTTTGATTGATACTCTAACCTTTTTCATTGTATTCTTGTATTGTGTGGTCTAAAGCACTAAACTTCCTTCTAATACAAAACCACTGAAGTCTTCGCTATTGCTTTTCAATGATATCACTCAAATGTTTGGGGACCGCGCCCCTTATATTCAAATCTCTTAAATGGTTTTATTAACTTACGTTATTTGTGTACAGACTTCCGAACATTTACATGGCTTTTAACTTATGCATTCAAAAATGAAGAACAATTTTGCAAATTTAAGTCATTTATAGCTCTCATTCGTAAAAACATATTCATCTATCCACACTAGGTCTTCAGATCCGACGGCGGTGGCGAATGTCAGCAGTACTCAGTTCCAAATCGTTCCTAGCAACCCCACGGTTACATTCACAAACCAGTTGCCCTCACACCCTGAAGCAAAACGGGCTTGCCGAACGGTACCAACATCAAGTCCACTCTTGGACCTCACCTTGCTTGCTCTTCTACACGAGACCCATCTGCCAAACACTTCTTTATCGAAAAATGTCATGACGGGAGCCTACTTAAATCAATAGACTACCATCCCAATCAATCTCCAATCAATTCCCTATCAAATTATTCACGGCAATCACCCTGACATACGATCATCTCGCGATCGTGCGCTCTGCTAGCATGCCAGGCTTCGACCGTATGCCTCAACACTCTCACACGCTCTCACCGTGTGTCTTCCTGCGACTACTCGTCTCATCAAAAAGGGTACAATCTTTTAATACTAGCACTAACAAAATACAATTTCTCGTCATGTAACTTTCAGGATATATCTTTCCATATCAGCAATGGTAGTACCTCTGCTCCCTCTCCGGATGCATACTCTCAATTTGTCTCCCACTGATTATAACTCCCACGTCCATTCCGCAACCCACATCTCATACAGTCTCCTCGCCGATCCAGCCTACTTGTCCCAATTTAGCGCATCCTCCTGTTGACAACCGAACCGAAATTTCTCCCATGGTGGCTGATTCTCACCCATCCCCTCCTCGACCCATTCAAGCTCATCCCATGCAGACAAGGGAAAAATCCGGAATTCATAAGCCAAAACAAATATATGATCTGTCTGCCACCACCTCCAATACGTCCACCCCAACTACTTTACTCAGGCGTCAAAAATCCCGCACTGGCAATCAGCTATGGAAGAGGAATTTTCTGCTCTTACGTGTCAAGGCACATGGTCACTTGTTCCACCACCTGAAAAGCTACAATTCTCGGTTGCCGATGGACGTTCAGACAAAATTATTGCCAATGGTACAGTCGATCGCTAAAAAGCTCGTCTAGTCGTGCAAGGCTTCAATCAAACACTCGGTGTTAATTACACCGAAACCTTTAGTCCTGTCGCTAAATGCCACCATAAGGTTCTCCTCAATCTAGCTCTCCACCGACATTGGTCTATACTTCAACTTAACATCTCAAAACGCCTTTCTCCACTGAATTGCTCACGGACATAGTGTACATGCGTCAACTGGCTGGCTTTATCAACACCAAACATCCGCAATACGTATTGCAAGTTACACAAATCTCTCTACGGTCTTAAACAGGCACCGAGATAATGGTTCCACAAACTCACATCCCTCCTCCAACAATTTAGGTTCAGGTTTAGTCGCTCTGATCCCTCTCCTCCTTATATTTCATCAACACAAAGTTCAATTATACTTTCTGATCTACGTCAATGACATTTTCTTAACAGGAAACGATCAATCATCAATTGAGTTCCTTCTCACTACTCCGGTCTCACTTTCCCTCAAACAATTAGGTAATGTCTCCCTGTTCCTTGGCATTCAAATTCTTAATACCCCCTCCGGATACCTACTCAACCAACGTCATTACGCTCTCAAGATCCTCCAAGACGTCGGGCTACACGACTGCAGTACGGCTCCAACTCCGATTACGCCAAATCGTTCTGCTCCTGTTTCAGATGACAAACCTTTCGTTGATCCTCATCTCTACCACAAGATAGCTGGCTCTCTACAGTACATGTCTATTACTCGTCCGAACATCCCATTCCGCTGCAAATCGCATTTCCAACACATGCACGCTCCAACCGATCGTCACTTTCAGCTTCTTAAGAGACTGCTTCGTTACATTAAAAGATCGCTAAACTACGGTCTTCCGATCTCTTCAGGCAATCTATCCCTTCGCACATATGTGTATGCCGATTGAGCATCTTGATAGCTCCGACCGAAAATCTGTCTCAGGATTCTGCACCATCTTGGCAATACCTCATTCCTGGTCCGTCAAGAAGCAAACGACCGTTGCAAAGTCGTCTGCCGAGGAAGAATACGATCACTGTCGCTGCTGCCTCTGATGTTCTGTGGGCGTTCCTTGTTGAGGAACTTGCACCTATTCTCAAAGTCTCCCACCACATCTACTGTGACAACACCTCCGCGATCGCTTGGCAAGGAATCCCATTTTCCATGCTCGCACTAAACACATCTAACTGGACTCATCACACTTTCTTCGTCAACACATTGACAGTGGAGCTATCACCATAGAGCACATCAGTTCCGTCGACCATATAGCGGACATCTTCACTAAGCCATTGGCCATCACCAGATTTCAAGCTCTACGTGACAAATTGATCATTCTGTAAGAACGATCACTTGCGGGGGTTAATAGGAGTAACGGCTATGCCGTACGTTCTTTTAGGATATCTTTGTAAATACTAGCTGGTTACATTCTTTTTATTCTCTATATATATCACCAGTGTAATCACACTTTATGATATAAAAATCTACTTTCTATTATTTGCTTTCATCGTGTCTTCATCTTCTTTCTTATTCTGTTAATCACGACGCTATTTTAATGAACAAATGATCTTCAAAAGTTGACATGTTTATTAGATTCAAGAGTCATCAATGAACCTGAAAAATTAGAACTATACAACTTATCATGAATTGATCGAGATGAATGAGTAAATCACTAGCTTATATGATTCAAGGAGCACTAGAGTTTTATATATAAATTCAAATATTTTTTGCAAAGTTTAATAAAACGTAACACACATCTACTGCCATCGCTACGCATGCAGCCAACGTTAACGTCAACACCGCTGCCAACCACCACTTTCTACCAGCTTGTTCTTATGTTTCCCATCACTATCGCCAGCCATTATTATAGTAGGGCTTTATACCCCATTCATTTTAATTCAAATCATACAAAAGATCAATCACCTTCTTTTATTTGTACTTATTCAAATTACTTCAAATATTTTAATATTAATATAAAAATATTATATTACTATTAAAATAAATTCAAAAATTTGAATTGAATTCCAATAAAAAATATAACTGAATATGTTTACGCAATATTATATATATATTAAATAAATTTCTATATTAGCACGACATTAGCTGTTTGTCAATAATATTTTTTATGTGGAATTAGTTTGCAAATATGTTTGGTTGAATGAGCTAAACAACGGAAGACAGACTGGGCTTTAATTATTGGCAGACAGAGGGAATTTTGTTTGCAACTCTTTGATGGAGTAAGCATGGCGTTTAAATGACGAAAGCCCAATTGAATTATTATTATTATTTTTTGACATTTTAGGTCACTTAAGGCTTCATTTGGGCCAACTTTTTTACTACCTTTTAAAATAACTTTTTAGTATAGAAATTTTTTGAACTAAAATTTGTAATAAAAAGGTACTTCAGAAATCAATAAGAAAATTGTCCCAAATAAAACCTACGGCTTCGTTTTGGACAACTTTCTAAAAAAATACTTTAAGAAACCGTAAAAAAACTGTACCGAACGAAGCATAAGTCAAATTCAAATGCAAAATGCATACGCAAGCTTCAAGCTTAAGACCTTTTAGTTGTTAGCCAAAACTCCTAAGCAATAGATCATGACGGGTTGTGTCTAATAGAATTAGTAAATAATTGAGGGATAAACAGGTTTAGCCAATGCTTTATTTTTCTTCCATTAACTTCATTTTATTGAAAAGTATATTTGCAGAAGCTTTAGTGTATAATTACTCATTAAAGAAGGTAGTAAAAAAGGTAGCCAATAAGAATTGAATGAAAATATTCTTTTTCACTCTTAGTCTTATGGACTTTGGGTTTTTAATTTTAATTAAGTGTATATATAGTGATGAAATTCTTAATAATCATATAAGTTTCATATTTATCATTCATTATGAAAATTTAAATAGACCTAATGAGGTCATTTATAAAGAATATGAACCACTTAGCCGGCCCAAAGATATTTATCGCATATGAGACTCTCCAAATGTCAATATGAATAGCATAAAAAAGTTGAGATTATTTATAAGTATGCCTTGAATAGATATTTATGTTGTACTTTAATAGTTTATAAGTTTCTCAATAAAATAAGTCTTAATCTTTTAATATTTATTATTCAAAGAATATGGGACTAACTTTTTGACACACATAAAGCTTGGATGATCAAGATGGAGGTATTATAACATGATTTCTATTAAATCTAGGATAAATATATATACTAAGCATATTTTATTTGTAATATAAGATTTTATTCCACATCAAAGAGGTGAAGTCTAACATTCTACTTAAATTGCAAACCATCATTCTCTAAACTAAATCCCAAATATCATGGTAAACAGAGAAAACTTACTAATATAATTCAAATCCTTGGTATTACAAGGATTTTTATGAACTAATATAACTAAGTTTAGGGATATATAATCTTATATTTTGATTCTTCCATTGCCTATAATAACAAATGATGATATGTTAATAATTCTTATTGAGCACTCCTAGAAAGATGCACATATTATGTGAAATATGAGATATCTATAATTATATGATCATAAGCTCTTGAATCCTTCATTCATGATTGATTCTTATGAATATTACAATTAAAGGCATTTATGACCAAATCTTATTAGCTAGTTGATTTGATGTTAATGTCAAATATGGCTAGAAATTAGCTTATTTAAACTTGACTTAATTCCATCTTTAACATTATAATTACTCTTAACTAATTGATGGCATTGTAAATTTTGATTGCCTTAGATATTCACTACTAGTTTCCAAGAATTTATGGCATTGCTTCCCTAGTTTCCAACTAGCAAGTTTCTCATCTAACTTTTAGAATGTTTCTTTAATATAATCAATTTTTCGATAGTTGCCACACAAGATGCTTTTCTTTTTTGAGAAAATTTTAGTTGAATAGAATGAGGAAATTTAGAATTGTAAGATTGCCTTGTCTCCTATTATAATTTAGCTTTTCTCTCTTTGGACTTCAAAATATAATTCTTGGACGAATAAAATACCTTTGTTACAAATATTCCTTCTTGGATATCATCAAGATTCTTATTTAGTCAAAAAATAAATTTGTATATTGTTTCCTTCTCAATAAATTTTTGACACTTGATCTTATCTCCTAAATACTCCTAATCAAGATCTTTAAATACATTTAGTTACTATCAATATCTAGTGACTGTGAGAAAATAAACTAGCACAAAAAATTAAAATTTATGCTTCTATAATCAAATTAGCGAGTTGTGGATTCGTCTTAGGACCTTAGAATAAAATTTTTTATAAAATAAAAATCTAAATCACCCCCCCCCCCAGACTCATAGACTTTTTCTGCTGAATCAATCTTGCTCTACCCTCAACTCGTAGCGTGCTACTCCGAACAAATAGTTTATACACTCACCGGCTCGTGTCTGTAGTCATTTCAGTTATTTCCTACAGTAACGTTCGGCAATGTCACTAACAAATCCAGATATTTCACATCATGTGGTGAATACTCACTCCCATCAAACATAAACGGGGAGTGGCAAATACTTCAATGTTGCCTTAACCAGTGGCGCATGCACGGTAGAACATCCTCACTTATATACTACTCCTCTGATTTTTGGAACAGACATTCAGTCCTCTGGACACACACTGCATAATGTCGTCCTCCCATTAAAGGATTGCTCCATGTTACTCTAATACTTTATATATTCACGTCTCTCGTGCTTATTTGAAGCGACCAACGTTTTTTAACATATGTCAGTACTGTGGTATTCTACTGACGCTCTACAGACATCATGATTGAAGACCAGCAAGATACTACATATATATAATCCTTAGTCATATCGTCATTCGATCTCAACATCCTCCTCGCAATTCTATTCGATACAAAATCGCAACCAAAACCCAAAATAACCGGTAAGAATCGTTAACAGAATATATACTCAAAACCTGTCAGAATAACTAACAACCAATAACAGATTCAATAAGTTGTCGCGCGTTGAAAGTTCGTCAATACAAAATGCAGGCGGATTTTGTCTAGAAGTACGAGAAATCATCAATCTAGTGCAACAAAACTGACCAAAAACTAAACATTTCAAAAAAAATAGGATTCGAGTCCTTACCACCGAGGATAAAACACTTTCCCCAATAGCGGCGCGTCGGACCGAAAAGCGGCTCCAGCGGCCCCGGAAACCAGCTTTCCTTTTGCTTTCCTTCTCTTTCTCTCTCCTCAAGATATTTTGATTTTTTATAAAATAGATTTCTCTTCCTCAAATCGAATGATTCCTTATAAAATAAGTCCTGATCGGCCCAGGTCGATCGCCACATCGTCTTGGGACGAATCTGAAAAAAATCCAATCGGCCTTGGACGATTTTTCACGGACCGATAATTAATTTCTTGGACGATTTGCTCTCTAACTTGTGCCAGCTCAGATCGTCCAGGACATCCAAAATCGGCCTGGACGGATCCACTTCTTAGAAAAATCAGCTATTTCACTGCACTTGATCATCCTGGACGATCTCAATATCATCCCGGACGATCCTGGGAGGAAACAGATCTTGGAAGGCAAAATCAAAGGAACGAAGCTCTCACACTCGCAATCCCGCTCTCTGTTTTGTTTTCACACTGCAATTATAATTTCATTCTGACGCTATGCTTTTTAGTTTGCTTCTAGAAAAATTATTGAAAAACTGCTTCTTTTAGCCAGCTTCTAAAAGTGTGTTTTAGACAGCACCTTTATAACAACATTTTTAAAATTTAAAGCCATCCTTGTATAGACCTCAAGAAGAATGGATGAATATATATCACCTAATATTTTCTTAGAATTATGTCACTTAATAGTATGTCACAAATTTAAATCCATCCCGCTTCTCTTATTCTTTATGATGTTTTATAACTTATAAAATTTTGTGAAACAACTCGTTGTTGATTTTATTAAAACTCTATATCTTTAGACAAACATTATTTCATATAAGTTTTATTAACCACATACATTTTTTTTTTTTCAATATTGGTTATGATTAGTTTGGTGTTTTTAACACAAATTTAGTTTTTTAGTTGAAACCACTTTAAAATTAGTTTTTTTTTTTTTCGGAAGGGGGGGGG